ATCAGGCTCAGTTCACCAAACGGGTGGTCAGGAGATTCCAGCTCTGCCCGTCACTCCTTTGTGCCTGGCAGGAGGAGCGGAGGTCTCGAGGTGACGCAGAGGCTGGCCTGGAGCAGCCCTGCAGGGAGCAAGGACTGGACCAGGCGTTGATACCCCTGCCTGTCTCTTGTCCCGCCCTCAGATCGGCTGCCGGGGCTCCCTATTGTCTGGCTCGGCCGGAAGCTAGAAGGGGTCAAGGGAGGCTGTTGAGGCAGCCTGTGGATGTCGGCCTCCTGGGGGGCAGGGCAGAAGCGGGAAGGGTGCAGGGAGGACCCGCAGGGGCGAACGAACATTGTGGAGCTCGCTCGTGCTGACGTTTAATGAGAGAGGGGAGTTCAGAAGCTTACACGGTCCCGGGAAGGTCACCCCACCCCACCCCGCTTTCCCACTTCCTCCATCCTTGGCGTTGACCGACAGCCCAAACAGAATTCCCGGCTGGAGGCACCCTGGGTCGGACCGCCCAGGGCCGGGGTGCCCACCAAGGGGCCAGTCCCGTGTGCTGCCCAGTCGCAGGGCACGGCTCCTCCAGGAGGCCGGGCAGGCTGGAGCCCAGGGGCCGCCAGGGCTGTTTGTGAGATTCCGGCTGCGCGCAGCTCGAAGCTGTCGAAATCGAGAGGCTGCCATTTAACACGCCGCAGCTTCCCCGTGATGGATAAATATTCCACACAGCACGACCGACAAGACTAAGCAAATATCTATTAGTCCCAGAGATGGAGTCCGCGGGCACAAGGAGAAGACGTCCTAATTGTTCACTCTTCTTGTGATATTAAATAAGCATTTCGCTAGACTTCCGCCAGGAGGACTGGCCGGCTTGCTTCCCTCTCTCTCTCTCTCTTTGTTTTAATTATACGAAGTTGAACAATCTTACATTTTTCGAGGCCAGCAAAAGAAAAAAACAGCATATGCAAAACTAAGTATTTCTATGACCCTCCTTCAAAGGCTAGACTAGAAGCTACAACTGTAAGAGACCTTAGAGATGGTCTGTCAACGCGGCACGTGACAGGTGTTACGAAATAAATAAAAGATGAAGACCAAGAAGGAGGACCATGGCGAAAAACCAAATCAGGTCCAGCTCTGGCCATCTTTCTTGTGCCTTGGGAAGCGTAATTCCACATACAGATAAATATATAGTGCACACGCACACACACACGCACATCCGTGAGCATCACGCTTCCATCAGCCAACAGGTGTTCACGAAGCACCTAGGACAGGACAGATGCTGTGTGAGGGGCTGTGTGGGAACAGCGGACAGGACAGAGCGGGCGTTGCCTGGGTTTGTTGTCCCCGCTGTGTGACGAACAGCTCGCGGTGGCTGTGGCTCCGAGTCCAGGCACAGCTCGGCCGGGTCCTCAGCGTCAGGACCTCTCACGAGGCTGTAAGAAGTTGTCACCCGGGGCTGCGGTCTCATCTCAAGGTTCGACTGGGGAAGGACCCGCTTCCAAACTCACCTGCTTGTGGGCAGTGCTCTCTTCCTTGAAGGCTGAGGCCTCAGTTTCTCCCTGGCTGCGGGCTGGAGGCGGTCCTCAGGTCCTTGCCGTGGGGGTCTCTCCGTAGGACGGCTTACATCATGACCACTTGCTTCATCAAAGCCGACAAGGGAGAGAATGTCTCTGTTAAGATGGGCATTCGGTCTTATGTAACGTAATCATGGGAGTTACATCCCCTCCCTTTGCCATAGTCCCTACAGAGGCAAGTCGCAGGTCCTACCCACACTCAAGGGGAGGGTGTCACACAGGGTGTGAGCACTAGGAGGTGGCGCACGAGGGTCACTTTCAAGTTTGTCCTCCTCATTCCCAAAGGAGCTGATGTTCCAGTAGAGGAGGCAGACAACACACATAGAGAAAGAAAATCATTACTAATGGTGAAAAATCTCAGGAAGGAAATCTCCTGGGTGCTTGCCGGAAGATGGTGAGGGGCCAGTTCTGGGAGAATGAGGAGACAGGAGGAGCCACTTTAGACAGGGCCCCAGAAATGGCCTGTTGGGAAGGGAACATTTTAAGTGGCGACTTGAAGAATGAGAAGGACACAAGCTTGCCCTGGAGGAGGTGCACCCCGGGGCAGAGGGAAGAGCAAGGGCGGAAGTCGGGAGGCAGGAAGGAGCCCAGCGGGGGCTGGTTTGTGACGTGGTTAAGAGGCCGGCAGAGGTCAGGCCATGTAGGGACTTGCAGACCGTGGGGGGCATTTGGAAATGATTCTCAGGGTGACGGGCAGCATATTCATTTCCTACTGCTGCAAAAACAAATTCCCACAAACCGGGGGCCTTAGAAGCCCAGAAATGTATTCTGTCCCATTCTGGGGGCGCCAAGTCTAGAATCGAGGAGTCTGCTGGGCCCCCTCTGAAGGCTCCAGGGCAAACCCCTTCCGGGCCCTGTGCCAGCTCCCCATGTCCCAGCCTCGCTCGGTGTTCCCCAGCCTGTGGGCGCATCGCTCCACTCTCCGTCTGTCGTCCGTGGGGTTCTGTCCCCGAGTGTATGTCTGGGTCCTTCTCCCATTCTTCTGAGGACATGAGCCAGGTCAGACGGCGGGCGCCCTGCTCCGGTACAACCTCCGCTCAGCTTCCACCTTAATTATGTCTGCAACGACCCTTTTTCCAAATAAGGCCACAGTGACACGTTCCAGAGGTCGGGACTTCCCTGGGGGGGGACACAATTCAACCCACAATCGGCCGTTCCCAGAGGGTCTGAGAGGGAGGAGGGACCCTTTGTAAAGAGCTCTTCAGTGGCCGTCTAGAAAGGACACTTTGGGGACAAGAGTTGAGGCACAAAGAGCAGTTGGAACAGGAGGGCGAGGTGACCATCCGAGCACAAGGAGGACAGTGTGGCCCAGAGAGCGAGCAATGGCAGGGAAGCGGGTGCGAGCGGGTGGAGGCGACGGCCGTGGGCGCACGCTTTGAGAAGGACGGGACCGGCTGCGACCTGACAGCTCAGGGTCCTGGGGGACGGCATCTGGATGGAGAAGGAGCAGCAGGAGGAGGAGGCGTGGGGGGCGCACATGGAGAGGGCCACGGGGGCTGCGTGCACGGATTCATCCGTCCGTCTTCCACGTGGAACAGAAGTGACACATCCCTCCCAGGAGGGGTTCTGAGAGCCCACGTAGGACTGGCTGGACCCCGTGCTCTCACAGCCCTGACAGCCACGTCCCCAGGAGTGACCCCTGAGCGAGTCCAGCTTCACAGGCGTGCGACCTGCATGGCCGCCCCAGACCTCACCCCCAGTGGGACCCTGCACCTCAGTTAACTCTCTCTCGTTTCCATCTTCGAATCCTTAGTAATTTCTGGACAGGTTTTGCATTTTCGTTTTTCACCGAGCTCCGCAGATCTCGCGGCCGGTGCTGCCTCTGAGGGAGGACAGCACAGAGCGCAGCCTCAGCCAGCCCGTGGGAGCGACGTGGCTCAGCCCATCCCAACTGCTCCCGGGGGCAATCTGCAGGCCCGGGGCTTCTGGAGATGGGAGGAGAGAGGCTGGAAGGGAGAGGACCACGCGTGTGCCTGTGTCTCCATCCTGAGCTCTGAGCTCGGGGGGACATTTGCGTGGGAGGGATTTTTGTTCTGATCCCCACGGCTGCCACAGTCCTAACTCCGTCTATGCTACGCTGGTGGAAGTAGTGGCTAAAAGCTCTCCAGAGTGGACAGACCTGGTCCCATTACCAGGCTGTGTGACCTTGGGCAGGTGACTTGCCCTCTCTGAGGCTCAAACTCCTCATCTGCAAAATGGGACTGGTCAGGGCAGTTTCTCCCTCACGGGTCTGCTGGGACGATCCAAGTAAGGGCTCAAGTCACGGCAGTTATTATCATTGTTGTTGTTCTTGTTGTTGACAAATGAAGAGCGTGCGGCTTCCCCAAAGCCGCCTTCTCTATCTGGTCCCTCTGAGTCCCACCCATGAGGATGGCGTGGACCTGTCTGGGGACTTTCTTCGTGGGAGCATCTAGAAAAGGGAGCACCCGTGAGCCTGTGCGGAGAGCCCGCCGTCTCGCAGAGGGAAGGGCCGGCCAGCGGACCTGGATTCACCGGAACTTTCCGATCTCGGCCCCCAGTGGCCTCAGCACACACCGCAGGCTTTTTGCAAAGCCCACGGATCCGCCCTCTCTTCCCCACCCACCTTCACCTCAGTAACTAGCACGGTCAAGTCCTGCACAAGCTTATTTCAAGGGTAACACCAGCCTTCACAAGTGACTTTCTCTGTTCTCTCTCATCAGAAATGCCCAACCCTGCCAGCGAAGCCTGGGTGGCGGGGAGTTGAGAACACGTATTTCCATATTCTCTCCCCCATCACGATGCGACAACGAGCAGCTCAGACCCCGGGCTGGCGTTTTGGAGCTTAATCATCTCATCCTCCCTCCACCTCCACCTGTTGTCATCCAGCCTCCCTGACAGAGAGATGCTTGGCCTGTTTTTGTTTGCATACCTCCAGTGACGAGGAGCTCACTCCCTCTCATAGCTGTTAAGCCCAAACCTAAACCTTATGAAACACTCCTGGGCTGACCCCTGGGGCCTTGCAGAAGGAGCAATTGCCCCAGAATAGGTTAATTTGATTGGGGGCAAAGTAGGCGAGCGTGGATGTGTACAGACAGGGGCCAGGGCCGTACTCCAACACACAATTCAGTGCTCAGGAGCCTGAAGTCGCTCATCACTTTTGTGTCCCTTCAAGGGCCTCCGACCTCTTCTCTCCTTTAGAATCTTACTCTGAGCTCTGCCTTATCCTAGAAGAAGTGGCAAGTCCCCCAGTGGATGAGCAGAAACTAAACTGTCACAAAGATTTATAGTGACTGAGTGACCTTCAAATATGTCCAGGCCCGCACAGAGCCACGGCAACAGCCCTGGCGCTGGGAGAGCTGTGAGAGTCTAGACAAACCAGTTCATCATCATGCCCGGTGCATCAGCTATCTATCGACATCATAATGCTGTGTAACAAACAACCGCACACTCTCAGCCTGTTTTGCTCTTGCATCTGGGGTGGTCAGCCGGGGGCTCTGCTGGTCATGGCTGGAGTCGCACACACGGCTGGGGCTTGGCTGGCTGCTGGCCGATCTAGGCTGGCCTGGTCAGGAGGAGTCAGGCCTCTCAGTCTGGTCCACGAGCCCCTCATCCGCCAGGCTAGTTTATTCGTGTGCTTCTCACAGTGACAGTGGGGGCAGGAGGGAGTAAGCGCAGCCCCTTGAAGCATTTCAAGCCTTCGTGGGGATCACGGGTGCTGACGTCTCGCCGGCCAAAGCCTGCAGCGTGTGGTCCCGAGTCCGTGTGGGAGGGCGCTGCAGGGTCACGGGGTAAAGAGCGTGGAGGCAGGGCGGGCGGGAGGTTCACGGCCATGGTCCCTTCCACCCCCACGGCCCTGGGCTCAGGCCACACACTTCTTCCAACAAGAGAGCATGTCGAGGTGTGGTTGGCTGAAGTCGGCTGCCTCTCATTCACAAGGTACCATGTTCAGAAAACGCTGGGGATCTTTGATTCAGCGATCCCGCCGCCAGCAACTTTGTATCCTAAGGAAGTCACCGGGCAGTGGACAAAGACGTGTGCACAAGGATCCTCCTCCGGCCAGAGGCTGCAACCCTCAATGGACATCAGTCAAAGGCCAGTGAGTAAATTAGGGTGCGTTTATGCAACAGCCAAAGCAAGTCACAAGGGAAATAAAAGGAAATCTGTGATGCCCGGGGAGGTGCCACATGATACAGAAAGAAATAAGGCAGAGGAGGGGCTGGGGTGAGGAGCTGAGGCCGGGGCTGGGACCTCAGGCTGATGAGCGGAGGGGGGAAGGATGTTCCAGGCAGAGGGAGCAGCATGTGCAAAGGCCCAGAAAATGTGAGGCGACCTGATGTTTCTGATCCTGCTCCCCACCCTATATGCCGGCTCTCCCGTCCTGCTTGCCTCCTGCCTTGGTCCCTCCTCCCTCTGTCCGGAAGCCTTGGTCTCCTGCCACCGCCAGCCTCACCTTCCCCAGCTGAGTCCCCTCTCCCGTGGGTCACGCGGGCTCCTGAAGTGGCGACTGGGTTCCCCAGGAGCTTCCTTATTCTCCAGGCGTCAGCTATGCCCAAGAGGCCACCATGGCTGCCCAGGGGTCCTTCTGTGTTTCTGAGACGAGCCAGCCAGGGCCGAGGGCAGAGGGCCGCAGCCCCATGGAAGAGCTCTTATAGGGGCACCAGCCAGTGTTCCTAAGAGGCGTGTGACGGGAGGGATGGGAGCAGCCCGACGGGACCCTGGGCAGCCTGGGACAGAGGAGAAGCAGGGGGCTTTGTAACTTGACAGCGGTAGCTTCTCCTGCCCGGCCACGCACCTGCTCTGTGACTAGGGGACGTCACTTGGCCTCAGCAACCCTGTGAATGAGAACGGCGCCCACTTCCCGTCGTACGTGGCGCATCCGATGCACTCAACAACGGTAGCCAGATGCTGTTATTATTATCATTGTTAGTATCGTCATTGTTGTTCCTTCGATGCCCGTCCCCTTTTCCTGGCTCTTCATGGAACAAACCCACAGGGTGCATTTCAGCCGGGGCCCAAGCTTCTGTTCAGCACGCAGCAGCCCATGTCCCCAAACCCTCTTTTGAATTTTAGATTATAGGTTTGATTAAGAGCTCAAGAGAGTAGAACATGAAAACACGAGCAATGCTCTCTTTCCCGCGGCGGCCACACTTTTCTGCCCCCTTCCTTCCATTCCACCAGCTTGGCTGTGAGTGTCTCTGTGCTGGAAGTGACATCACTTGTCACTTGGGGACAATGAGACAAACACTGAGAGCTCCCACCATCTGCTGGACTGTGGACTGCTCACTACACAGTGATCATAAACACCTGGTGTCTATTCACGCGCCCGCTTCACGGAAAGAGAAACTGAGGCTCCGGGAGGTTAAGTCGCCTGTTCTCATTCCCACAGCGAGCCCGGGGCGGGATGGACACTCAGGCCGACGGGATGTGGACGGTCAAGGCCTACGCCACAGCCGCCCGCGTGCCCAGTGGATGGGCCTGGGGGGAGGAAGAGGAATCAGTGTGGTCCTCACCCTCGGGGGCTGACAGTGGATGCGAACTGCCAGGAGCGGGAGGCTCTGATCCCGTTTCCCGTTGTATACACGGGAAACCGCCACCACCTTCCAGATCGTGAACATATCGATTCCACCCAGAAGCCTCCTCCTCAGGACCCTGTATGATCTGTCCCTCCCTCCAGCCTCCACTGCCGCCACCCTCCAACCCAGGCCACCGCCCCTCTGCTTCCTGTCACTGCAGATTACGTTGCCTTTTCTAGAATTCTCTAGGAAGGGAACAGTGCAGCCCGGAATGTTTCGTGTCTGTCTTCTTTCGTGTAGCATGGTACCCCTAGATGTATCTGAGTTTCCACAGGCATCAACAGGGCCTTCCTTTTCATTGCTACGTAGTATTCCGTTGTCTGAATGGACTGTCTGTGGATCCATTCACTGGCTGCTGGGTGGGGTTTAAAAGGCTTCCAGTTCTGTGCTGTTGCAGACAGAGCTGCCAAGGACGTCGGTGTCGCCTGTGTGTGAATGCGTGCCTTCAGTTACCTTGGTGAGTAGCTAGGAGTTGAACAGCCAGACTATCCGGTAGTGGGGTGTTTAAATATGTTTAAAACTGCAAATCGTTTTCCTATGAGGCTGTCCCCTTTATGTTCCCAACAGCCGTGGGTGAGAGTTCCAGCATCTCCTGTCCTCACAGACACCTGGTAGGAACCGTCTTTTCAATTTTGACTTTCAAATAGGTGTGCAGGGGTATCTTATCATGATATGAATTTGCATTTTATTTTCTTTTTTATTGAGGAAGATTAGCCCTGAGCTAACTACTGCCAATCCTCCTCTTTTTGCTGAGGAAGATTGGCCCTGAGCTAACATCCACGCCATCTTCCTCTACTTTTTATGTGGGACGCCTACCACAGCATGGCTTGTCAATGGTGCCATGGCCACACCTGGGATCCAAACCGGCGAACCCCGGGCCGCCAAAGCGGACCATGAGCACTTGACCTCTGCGCCGCCAGGCCAGCCCCTGAATTTGCATTTTCTTAATGGCGAGCATCTTTTCATGTGTTTCTCAGCCATCTGTATATCTTTTTTCCTCACATATCTATTCAACCTTTTTTGCCCATTTTTTTAACTAAACTTTTCATTTTAAGATAATTGTAGCATTAATTTTGAGCATGTGACCATTTTCATCAGGTTTCTATTTTGTGTGTCTTATTGAATTTTGAGAGTTCTTTCTATATTCTGGATAAAAGTACTTTATCAGATGTGTGTTGTGCAAACGTTTAAGCCCAGTCTGTGTGTACAGCAGTCCCCCCCAGCCGTGGTTTCACTATCTGTGGCTTCAGTTACCCAAGGTCACCTGTGGTCTGAAAATATTAAATAAAAAATTCCAGAACTTCAGACTTGCTCTCAAGCTTTGTTCGGGGGACCAGAGAAGTATTTTGTCTAAGACTAATTATTCCCCATTACTGAGCACACATGCTGAGAGCTCCGCCCGAGAGAACAGGGTCATTGCTGGATCTTGGTCTCTCAGTCCCTTTCAGGAACTCTCCTCACTTGCCCCAAGTCGTGTCCTCACAAGTGTGTGCTGAGAAGTATTCTGGCAAATACTCGAGGATAACCCTCTGCAAATCTCGGGAGCTCTCTCTAAGTGCAGCTCTCACCTCCCTGGTGCTCTGCCCTGAACATTGCAGCTTTCCTGGCCTCCCTGCACAGCCGTCCATCTCTTCAACCCAAGAACCCCTGATCTGTCTGGGGTCCCCCCCTGTGCCATGGCCTGGACTCCCCGAGCAGTGAGCCAGGGTACCTGTAGGGCTCGCCCCGTTGCTTGGCCATCTCTCTGAGATCACGGTTCTTTGTCACCTGATGGTCAACGTCTTGAAAACCATTGTTTCATCTTGGTTTTCTTCTCAGATGGGAACGTAAATCCAGGCCCTGTTATTCCATCTTGGCTTGAAGCAGAAGTCCTTGTCTGATCAAGTTCTGGTAAAAGAAGGGTTGTCAGAGGGACTCTGAAACTGGTGTTATGGGGGCGTTTATTAGGTACCAGCCCCCTAATCTGCCCTTTGCATGGAGCGTCTCTCTCTGACACAGAGAGAGCAAGTCGCCAAGGTTCCAGGACTTTGAGGGCGCTGTCCAAGGTCCCAGAGCCGGGATTTGAACGCAGGTCTGTCTGATTCGACTTGCCCTGCTACGGCACCACCTGACCTGTTCACTCAAGGGCCAGAATGTATGAATGAACAAATGAAACGAGTGAACATATGCAGGGCTGCTTGGCATGTCTGTGGGTCCTCTCACTTCTCACAGATAAAAATTCCAGTGCTGGGAGGGAACACCTGCAGACCATTGTGACCCATCTGAGAGGCTCAGGGAAGGCAAGCCATTTCCCTAAGGCCACACAGCCATGGAGTCAGCCCTGAAAAAAATCTCCTCTCCCTTCTTCTTTTTCAGTTGAGGCTCATAAAGCAAGAAGAGCTTTCTGATAATATCTATGTGCGTATGTAATATTTGGCTTTAAAGACGTATTCAAATAACCTCTTCCACCCGGGCTTGCAAACGGTCGGGCTTTATTTGGACCAATGAGGTGTGAGCCTGCGGGGGAGCTCCGTGGGAGGGGGGAGAGGTCAGAGCAGACAAGGAGAAATAAAGCAGGACTTCGGCTGGGCCTGGTGGAGGCTTGTTCAGAAAACACGCTCCATGCGCGCAACCCCGCAGCGGGTCACTCCATCTGGGAGGCCCTGCTCCAGCCTCGCACCGGCTGCTCTGTGCTGTCGGCTGCTGGGATCGTTTTTGAGAGGACCAGTTTGCAAGCAAAACCACTGAAAATGACTTGCATTAAGGACTCTTTCAGTTCAGCCCGAGAGAGACTCAGGGATGAATGTGAGTTTGGAATGTGGTAAAGTCCAGCCTGGATCCCAACAGTGTATTAATAATTTCGTCACTTAAATTATTAACTTCTGTTATAAGCTATAAAATCCACTTCAAAGTAGATTAATAAATATATATATAAAATTTTTCCATCTTAGTGGGAAGTCTGGAGTGGAGTAAACTCAGGTACGCGGACTCCAGCTATTTTTGTTCCCTCTTAAAATAACATTACCGTTGCCATTACAAAATGAATCCATCGTCGTTTTAGAAAAATCTTTTAAAAATATATTAAAAAGTGGGAAAAACATAAAAATCACCCAAAACTTGTCGACCAGAAGTAACCAGGCTTTTGTTGCCGAGCTTTTTTTGAAACACCCTTAAGATTGATAGGTATGTAAATATTGTAAATTCGTATGTTTGCCTTTTTTTCCCTGATTCTAAAATCAATAAACGCTCATGGTCAAACATTTGGGAAAGAGAGAAAAGTATGGAGTGGAAATAATCAGTCGGAACCCAACCAACAAAGAGATCATTTTTGTTAATTTTGTGGGACTTGTCTAGCTGTCCACTATCTTTTTATGTGTGTGACTTATACTATATATCGTATATCATTGCACTGTGAATGTAAATGTAATTGACAGCTGAATATAAATATTTACATATTTCTATGTTTATATTTAATTCTTCAATATGTGTTCAATTTGTATTCAATTGCTCAATGCACATTATTGAATATCTATTGAATTTATATTTGACTATTCAACATATATTAGTTTGACTACATCCATACGGTGACAGTGACACTGGACCATTTCGGGATCCCAGAATGCAACAGCTTTGTCAGTTGGCATCACCTAATATTCACCACCGGGCACCCCGTTGGTCCTTATCAATCTAAATAAAGTCCACCGAATCAGGTCGCTCACTGGCAGTTTTAAATACTTAGAAAGTCATTTCTCCACCGCCTCAGTAGTAACGGTAGCTCGTGTGTGGCTCTCTGAAACCCGGCTTTTGTGGACACAGAACAAGCCACATGGTTCGGCATTGTCTTCACCCCAGCCCGGCCCCGCCACCACCCGGCCCCTGTGGTGTTCCCGCCACCGCTGACCAGGCCTGGGGACAGAAAGTCACGTCTTAGGAGCTGTCAGTGTGTCCCGGGAGTGGTGAGTGTGGGGTTAAGTAGGACTTAACCATCCAGCGCTCTGCTCACGCCCGGCAGCCCAGAAAACCTCCCAGAGCCTGGGCTTCCTCGCCGACACCGTTAAAGGAAGAATGGAGCCCCAGCTGGGTTTTATTTCGAAAGCAGACACGCACATCCTGCTCTCGCTGCCTCGCAGACGGTCCACTCCACTCGTATGTGGATGGATTTGGCTCGGCCGTGAGGCTGGGGGGACGGCCAGTGAAACCTCGTGCTGTTCTCTTGGGGACTGTTCATGGGAGGGAGCGTGGTGAGGAATCCCACACCTGGGCGCTCCTGCTGGGTGCAGGGGGCCGCGGCCTTCAACAGGCTGGACCCCGACCTGCAGGAGGAGATGCCGCCTCAAGGCCCCCCCACCTCTCTGCCTCTGTGGGAAGGTCCCCTCATTAGGACCCTGTTTAGCAGCTCTCCAGCACTGGCTCATCCCCCCTCTGAAGCAGGGGCAGTCCTCAAACAGGTCCGACCGGCTGCAGCCATGGCCAGGGTGACTGTCTGCCCCCCAAAGGCGTCACGATTGAGAGGTGACCGTTATTTTTGCTTCCATGGAAGAATGAAAAGATCTCCCAATTAACTGTAAAAGACCATTCATTGGAAGTTACGTGCCAATTTCAAAGTTGCTAGAATGGAAAAGAACAAAAGAGAGACAAATAAAAACAAATACAAAAAACAAACCCTGTCTGTCTCTATATCCTGTTAATGACAAAATTCCATATTTTCACTGTTTTTATATTCGTGATCGCCTTCTACTGACAGCGGCAACGACGCTTGTCCAGTTAAAGTGGTTCCATAAATTAGCTTTTGAAATAATTTTATTTTATAAAATATTAAAATTAGATTACTTAACTATATATTATCTGTTATAAATATATTATCTATTATGAACATATTATATATTCTTATAATATAATTTAATATATTATATAATAAATTATAATATAATTTAATATATTATATAATATAATATATTATAATATTTACTATATTATATATTATATTATAATATAATTTAATATATTATATATATTATGACAGCTTTCTATATTAATATATACTATATTAATATATAATATTATATATTAATATATGTCTAATGTATAATATTATTATAAATAATATTATTATATCTAATATATAATATTATTATAATACACACATATAACACAATAATATATAATATTATGTACTATAATACTATTAAATATTGTTTAAGCGTTTTTTTGAGGAAGATTAGCCCTGAGCTGACTACTGCCAATCCTCCTCTTTTTGCCCATCTTCCTCTACTTTATATGTGGGACGCCTACCACAGCATGGCTTGACAAGAGGTGCCATGTCCGCACCTGGGATCTGAACCGGCGAACCCTGGGCCACTGAAGCAGAACGTGCGAACTTAACCGCTGTGCCACCAGCCGGCCCTAAGTTTTTAATTAAATATTAAACAAATACGTTTATTAACTAACTTTGTTTAAAGAAAAACCTTAATCAAATTACAGCATTACTGCCACAGGTGCCATAAGCCAGTTTTTTAACAACGAAGGCCTGTGACACTTTGTTAAACCTCAGGTCTAGGTAATCTCGAGGACTTCTAAATGACCAGGGGAGACGCTCCTGTGACTGGAGAGACCCTAATAACCCTTTTGTTCATTTCCATCTTTCTGTTAGCCGGGGAAACTGAGGCCTGGGAAGTGGAAGGAATGTAACGTGAGTCCATCACTGAGTTTGGACCCAGGCTCGGGAATCCAGCTGGATGGTGTGTTCCTCCCTACACGGTCCTGTTCCGGGCAGACCTCAGCGGGGTTTCCCTCACTGTCCCTGTTTTCCTTTTCCTCTCCCAGGACCACACCCTCAGCCACACTGTTCACCACGTCACGCAGAGTTTCTTGCTGGATCCAAACCAAGAAATGGTTTCTGTGCAAGTCCTTTCTTACCATCACTTAGTCATTCTCCAATTCTGAATTTTGATTCTTCCATCTGTTGGCTGGAATACATCTTTGAGTAATTTTTTTCGAGGGATGCATGAGAATATGTCTTTTCCCCAAATCCCTGAATGTATGAGAACGTTTTCTTCTGTTGCCTTCATACATTAAAAACAGTTCAGCTGGGTATAAAATTCAAGGGCTGCAAATTTTATTCTTTTCATATTTCCTTTTGGGGGCATTTATTACTGCAGAGGAGAAATCTTAGTGTTTCAAATGTAGAATGATTCTTTTCATGTTGAATTTTTTTTCTGTCTAGGTTCTTAGAGGATTTTAATTTACCCCTAGGGTTCAAAGTCAGAATTCATGCAATCGTGGTCATCTTTTCATTATTTTGTCTATAACGTGGTGATGATTTTCAAGACACACTCTCAAGGTTTTTTAAACTCAGACATTTCTTCCTATTGCATCTTTGACTAATGCTGGAGCTACAATGACCGCCTCTCAGGATGGAGATTGTAATTAACTGAGATTCACCCCACAGTGCAATTAGGGTAAGTCCTCAACAGTTTTGACCCCCTTTCCTGTTTCCCTCATAGCTATTTTGGGGATGGTTGGGCGTCTCATTTGGATAGAGTTTGTATTTATTCATAAATCGGTGTTGCCCATGGTTATTTTCATCAGATGCCTATTGTTAGATCCAACACCTGCGATCTTCCAGAGTACACGAGACATTTCCACCTCAGTGAAAGAGGCTGCGAGACTCAACTTGAACCTCTAGGAAACCACCAGGCTTTTGGTCTCATCCGAAACAACCGCCGACTCTCATGGAACATTCTGCGACTAGAGATACGCGTTCTGAACTTCCAATGAGTGAGAAAGCATAAAAATTCAGCAACTGATGAACTCTTTCTTTCTACAAGTGCAATTAGCCCAGCTAAGTAACTATAAACAGGAGAAAAGAGGACCTCTTAAGAGAGGAAGAACTTTTCCAAGCAGTTATTAAAGACCCATCTACAAATTATGTATATGCTAATTATAAATCAGGCACTCTAGAAACGCCCATTGATAAATGATTTCTATGCAGATTATAAATGACTTCAGGGAGCTCATTCACAACCGGATCTGCACACCAATTACAAACCAAGCAACTTAAAGGTACACCTACACAACTCGTGTATGTGCTAATTACAAAGACGCTTTAGAGATTCTCATTTACCAATCAAGTATGTGTGCACTGCCCACTATATACTTCATAAAATCCTACGCACCGATGATTTTATGCTAATTACATGGCAAGTAATGTGAAATGCATATTTACAAATAATCCATGTGCTAATTACACTGCAAACACTTTAAAAACACTAGTGACCACATGATTTGTGTGCTTCATGACATAGCAAACACCTTAGAAACACCCAAGTATCAATGATTTATGTCTAATTACACACTTGACACTTCAGGAATGCCCATGTGCAAATGATTTATGTGCTAATTACACCAATACTTAATGTGAAACAACAAATGACTCGTATGCTCGCCACAAATCCAACCACTTACTTGCATGTGATTTATGTCCTAATTACTAGCTGTCCCCGTGTGTTTCCTTTAAGGACCCATTGTCATCGACAGACTGACAGCTTTCTTCTGATTGGTAGTCATTATGAATATAAACAAAATTTGAGCCTGTAATGAAAAGATTTTAGGAGCCTGTCTTTATCCTCCCCTCCCCCCTCAACCCACCCAATTATCAGGGTATGGTCACATTTGGGGTGCTGCGACTCTGAGGACCCATCTCTCAGAGCCGGCTCAGAAGCATTGTCTAGGGTGAGAATATTCTCTTCTCTTTGTCTGTTTGGAACCATCCAAAGAAGTTGATGAATGCAGTACAGGTGCCTACTAGCCACTCAGACTGTGCAACCATCTCGCACATTCACCGGGGTCGTCGCTGTCTTCAGTTTATTTATACATCAATGTCACCGCCACCACTCCCTGCTTCTGTCCCCTCTAGCATGGGACGGCTTACAAAAGGTTTCCATGTCCATTATCTTATAGACTTGCATCTCATAAAAGAGAGAGAAATCAAGAATAAAGATTAGAATTTCCCATTTCACAGAGGGGAAAAGTGAGGCTCAGGGTGGCGAAGCCGCATTTCTCCTGCCAGACCTAGTTCCAACGTCTGCCAGACGCCCCAGCCGAGGTCCTTCTCCCGCCTGGTCCCCCAGGTGGCATTTCCTCCACAGCAAACCTCCAGCTGTCACCCTCGCAGGAGCCTCCAGAACTGAAACACCCTCCCCGCCCACAGACCCCGTCCCGTGCCCGCTCCGCTCCCGGCATCCTCAGGCCCCCAGGCCGCTCCCCCCACACCGTGCTGGCTTTCCCAACCGGAGTGGGGGCTCTGGCACGCGTCTCACCTCTTTAAGAGTGAAAATGTATATCCCTGAGATTGCAGCTTAATTGACTGATTAATAACAGAAAACCTAATTGAACGCTCCCAGCTTGTGTGTACGACGTCTTAATGTCAGAGCCTTGGGAATCGTCGCGCAGCAGGGGCGTCTGAACTGAAGCACGGCTCCAGCACTTTCCATTTAAGAGTCAATCTCATTATCGGAGAAGCTGTTCCCTTGATCCCCCTGGAAAAGCCCGTGCTCTCAAACCAGACGCCCCTCGTGCCAGCCTCCTCTGCTCAGTGCTGTCTGCGGGCGGCGCAGGGCCCAGGGGGAGTCCTTCTCGCTCCCTCTCTCTTTCTCCTCTTGAGCGTGTGTTCTCCCCTTTGCATATCTGAGCAGCTCAGCAAATACTCGTGAGGTGCCGCCGTGGGGTCTGTGAAGAGCACAGACGTGGGCCCTGGGAGGTGACGGGTAATTCGACATCGCCAGCACTGAAGGGCGAGCGGGATGGAAAGATGTCCCCAGGTCAGGCCTGGAGCTCCGGCTGCTCCTTTCACATTCCTGCTTCGGGGTGGCCTGGCTGGGGGTCTCCCGGTGCTCAGAGAGCCCGGGCAGGTTTCTCGGCTGGGCTCGGAGCAAGGAGGGAGGAGCGGGTGAGGGCCGCCTGGACCATAACCTGGTGCTGCCACCCGCTAGTCACTCACAGCACCTCTGTGGCAGGGCTGCGGCCTCCTGGGCCTCTGCACCAGTCAGCCCGGGCTGCTGTGACAAAGCACCACAGGCTGGGAGCTTACACAAGAGAAACGCGTTCTTTTGCGGCTCTGGAGGCCACGAGGCCAAGATCCAGGTGTGGCCAGTTTGGGCCTCTCGCCTTGGCTTGTGGTTGGCCACCTTCTGGCCACCTCCTCCCACAGTCTTTCCTCTGTGCTCGCACCCCTGGTGTCTCCGAGTGTCCATATTTCCTCTTCTTACAAGGACACTAGTTAGACTGGGTTAGGGCCACCCTGATGGCCACATCTTAACTTAATCCCCTCTTTCAAGGCCCTGTCTCCAAATACAGTCGCATTCTGAGATACTGGGCCTTAGGACGTCAACACACGAATTTAGGGGTGCACAACCCATCCCATAATGGCACCTCCACTTGGATGGCGCCGAGACCCTCCAGCTCAATGTGCCCACACTCAGCCGCATGACTCTGCATCCCTGCCTAGCCCCCTGGTCCCTCATGCGCTCACCTCCGGCCCCATCCCACTCCACCCCCTCCCACGGACCTGACTCCCCAGCCACCACAGCCCCCAGCCCGTTCCCCTCACCTCCTCTCCTGCTTCCACTGCAGCCCCCAGCTGCCTCCCCAGAACCCGCCGGCAGCCCATTCTGCAGAGCAGTGATGGGGGCGCTTCCACAGTGCACGTCTGACTGTGCACCTGCCCCTGCTCAAGCCCCCCACCGTGCCCTCTGCTCCCCCACCAGCCCTGCGGTCCTCACATCGCTGACTCCCGGCAGGCCTGTGAGGTCCTAGCCACATCTCGGCCTGCTCGGCCTTCTCTGACCAGCCATCAGGGTCCAGTCCTGGTCCATTTCTCCTCTCTCTGCACCATCTCCCTGGACGCGCTCATCCGTCTCTCCAGCTTCCGTGCCTGCTGGAGGCGGGCTGCTGGCGGCTCATGGATCATCCCTGGGTCCAGACCCCTCAGCCCGAGAGACCCACGTGCCTTAGTCCACGATGCATGGTCAGAATAACACCCTCACAGAGCAATATTTGTACTGAGATCCTAGGGAAGGAGAACTGACTGTTATCACTTTATTCTCTTTGAAAGAACCTGCCGGCCATCTCCCCAGTGAACAGTCACCCGGGGGGGAAACTTTTGGATCATAGGAGAGCCACATACATGGTCCCTCCAGTTAACGTGACGGACACCCACTGCTCGGGACAGAGCTGAGGCAGAACCACTGACACGTGAATCCCCATCCTCCCCCCGCATACTTCTCAATGATCGAGGATCAATCCACAATCGTGGGAAAGGAATCCCACAATCCACGGGAAATCCATGCGAAAGGAGCCTCCTGATGGGAAAAGGGTTGGGACCTGGACACATTTCCTTTCAAGATGCAGCTTGAAGTTCTCTGCAGGACCGGGAGGTCCTGGAGTGAGGGAAGTGGCTGGTGAGCACATGGAGGGCCCTGGGGTGGACTCCGCTGTGAAGGAACAGGGTCTGGTCCAGGGATGCAGCCCCCCCGTAACGTCCAGGCGTTTGGGGAGAGGAGCTCTGGCTGAAGACGTGGGCTCTCTGGCCGCAGCCTCCTAACCTGATTGTTTCTAAAACACAAGTGCCCACCTGGGGTGTGAGGGACTGAGGGGTGGCTGTGGCCCCTAAGACCCTTTGCCTGGGGCCTTGAGCCTGGAGCGTCCCCACGTCTGAGCAGGGATCCGGAGCAGCATCCTCAGGGGCCCTGGGCTGCACCTGGCTCGTGCTCAACAGCACCACCTGGTGGGGACCAGATGCTGGAGCCGGATAGTTCACGGATGGGACTCTTGGATTTCTCTGCCCGGCTTCAGAGGCAGCAAGGACCTGCTCAGATCATACCTCTCGGACAATTTGGACAACTCACTGGCAAAGGAAAACGCTTCAAGGGAGCGGACAGAAGGGCTGGACTTCCTGGTAAATTTGAAGGTGGAGGTTTGGTTGATAAATTTGAATATTGAAGGGAGACTTTGGTTGCACACAAGATTTCCAAGTGGCCGATAATTATATGAAAATGGATCAACATCATTAGTCATCAAAAAATGCAAAGGAAAAGCACAATGGCCTGTCCCCACACATCTTCCAGAATGGCTGCAATCAGAGGTCGGACGCCGTCAAGTGTTGGGAAGATAGGGAGCAAGTGGAACCCCCAGACCCACCAGTGGGAGTGCCCCCTCGTTCAACCACTTCAGGAGACAGTTTGGTGGCAGCTACAAGAGCTGAATGTGTACACTGCGACTCAAGAATTTCATTTCTGGGTCACTAAGTGTATATACACAGAAATCCATATTTTTTTCATTAAAGGACCTATAAGAACATTCACGGCAGCCCTATTCATGATGGCCTGAGACTGAAAACTACCTAAATGCCCATCCATGGGTGAAAGGATAAACATATTGTGGTATATCCCTATAATGGAACATTACTCAGAAAAGAAAAAGAGAGAGAAGAATCAGAAGAAGGGAAATGAAGAGGAGAAACACCTGACAGAGTCATCATGTTGAGCAAAAGAATCCAGACACACATGAAAGAGTCCATACTGATGGATTCTGTTTATATAAAGTTCAAGAACTGGCGAAATTAACGGATGGTGGGAGAAGGTAGAATGTGGCTCCCTTTGGGAGGAGGAACATTGACCAAGATGAGCACACGGGAGACTCTGAAGCCCCTGCGATATTCTCATCTGGGTCTGGGTGGTAGTTGTATGGCTATTGCTGTGGACAGAATTGTGTCACCCCAAAATTCATGTGTTGAAACCCCAGTGTGACTGTATTTGGAAATAAGACGTTTAGGAGGTAATTAAGGTAAGTGAGGTCCTAAGACTGAGAAGGTCACAATAGGATCACCGTCCTTATAGGAAGAGACGCCAGGGAGGGCTCTCTCTCTGTCCGCACACATGCGCCAAGGACAGGCCCTGTGAGCCACAGTGAGAAGGCAGCAACTGTCAC